AATAGATAACTCAACTTCATTCCTGTTGTCAGCAGGATGTGCTGGGTCTAACACCCTACAAAAATAAATATACACATTAATATTTTTATCTCCGGAAAAGTTTGGAAATTGTGTTTGTATAAATCCTGCTCAATAACTGACACAAAGGACATCTCCGTGTCCATTTAGAGTGTAAATGATCAGCTGATTGTACATATGATGTGATGATCAGACATTTCTTACATTATACACAGAGTGTCTTGAAGCTTTTGACTGTTAGTCATAAGAAAATCATCAATTTTAAGATGTAAACTTGTATTTTTCATTGTTTCCTGATGTTTTATAGACCAAACTCTCAATCAAGGAAATCCTCAGCAGATGAATCCATAAGGGAAATAATCGTTAGTTAAACTTTGCAGCTTTATTTCATGTACCTGATTTGGTAGAAGAAGATGTCTGATTGATGCTCTGAAGCCGATGAGTCCTCTTGGTTTCTTCTCAGTGTTTGGTGAAGGTGCTGCAGCAGTGAACAGTCTTAGGAAGAAGTAACTTTATTTTTATGGAGGACAGAGAGACAATGGCCTAACCAGTCCGATTACTCTCACAGTTGCTTTATACCCTTATTTGAACAAGTCTTCCAAAAAGGAGGAAGAGGAAGAGGAGAAGCCTCAACAAATATATTCAGTGTGAAAACACCCCACAGAGCAAATGTCTCTTAGAACAACTGTGTGTCACCCAGACTTGCAACAACAGTGCTGAGGACAGTGTTTGTTAGCAGGTTCACAGGTGTGTTGTGTTACAGGTGTTGCGACTCACACACTTTCACAGAAACATGATTCCATCACCCCCCCATTACACATTTTGAAATAAATTGCAGCACTTGGTGGATTTTTAATTAGCATCAACCTCCGGGGCTGAAAAAGGAAGTGCTAAAAGCTGCAGTTCCTCTAACAACCACTAGAGTCTGGCTCCAACAGTGAGTCAATCCACATAGACTCCCATGTTAAAATGTCCAACTTTACAGCAGAAATAAACATGTTTACAGCCTGATCCAAAAACAGTTTTGGTCTCTAGAGCTAATTTCCTCCTTTATGACACCTGTTTACATTTTATTAAGGACTAAAGTTATGGAGAATTGAGGGCGTAGCTAGTTTGAATGACAGGTGGGTAAACGTATGACCACAAACCGCATGACTGAAGTCTCAGCTCCACACACACTCCTCCTCTTTGTCCATTTTTGGATTAGCTGGGAGTTAGGGGGCAGAGTCAGACACTGCCAAGATGGCGACAGTGGACCAGCTCACTCTGAGCTTCAAAACTGCTCTTCAGAAACCTGTGGGTGAAGTCACGGAGGCTATTTCCATCTTTATTTACAGTCTATGGTCACAGCCATTGCTGCTACTGCAACTGTGGGCCAAATGACAATGACTGACTTCCCTTGGGCAGCTGTCCCATTCACCTCATGCCGTACCCTTGCTCCTTAGTAAAGGTGCTTGACTTACCTATAGAATCCAAAATGTTTGACCAACAACAGTGCTGTTTTTAAGGGTTTCACAAATGATGGACGAACACAACAGAACATATGCTGAGTCGAGCTTTAATTAGACAGAACAGAACATCAGATTTACACAAGTGTAGAGAACAATGAGGTGACGTAAATACATATTTAATTGATCGAGTAAAATGAAGTAAATATCAAAATGTTACTACTTGATTCTTTTTTTAAACAGAGCCCAAAAACAACAACAATTTCCTCATCACCTAATTGTTTTATTCAGGTGAATGTGCAAGACATACGACCAGTTACATTAAATTACCTGCAACTTCTGTAAAACTCAGAAAACGAGAAGCATTAAGCAACAGTTTTTAATGTGCTGTATTTATGCAGTTAATACCTGAAGGGAGTTATCTAACACAGTACCAAGTGATGCTGTAGCGATAAGCTAGTAGTATGAATCCCATCCTTTATCCCTAAGTTTGATTAACAATCTTCAGTCGACATTACCAACACACTGGGCTACAGGTTCCTTGTCATTGAAGCAGTTAATGCATTGGAAATCTTTATTCTTTGGTTTGTAACAACGGAAAATGTTGTCGTGACCAACTTTAGTGTTCCCCAGCTGTTTGAGGGACTCTACTGGTTCGTCTTTGTCGATGGGAACACCTTTACTGGTCTTGTCAAACACCTTGGAAAACACAAAGGCAAACTGGTCCCAATTGGGGAAGACTTCATTAATCTTGGGTATGATGCTGTTCCTGTTTTTCAAGTTTGTACATTTTGCACCACATGGGGAATAGAAAGTGTAGAAGACTAGAAAATTACCATCTCTACTCTTAACTAAGGGTTTCATGTTTTGCAAAACAAGTGCCTCGGCGTGATCAGTATACCACTCTTTAAAGTCAGGTTTTGCAACAACTACCCTGTTGTCACTGGTGTCATTTGGGTACACTGAGTCCTCTGAGAGCTTCTTCTTAACAGCGGCAGCAGTGGCTCTCTTAAAGACCTCTTCTAGGTAGTTCTGGTTCTGGGTTTTCACTGGGATGTTTACAGCCACACTGACCTGGGTTTTTATATTATACCTATTTGTCAAAGGAAACATACAAACAAATGTTAGAGGCTGTCAGAGAATACGATAAACAAAAGAGGTTAGCCTATATAAAGAAGTGTGTTTCCATTTTAAATGAAATGCGTTGTGTGATCTGATGTCATAAAAGGCATCAGTGTACTTTACAGGAGATAAATATATACACACACTTATATAAATACAGGGATTGACAGTGGATGCAGTGAAAAATAACAAAATTTTTTCAGAGACTAGAAACCAGTTAAAATCAAACTGACTCACCTGTTGATGGTGAAGTTTGTAATTTCTGCGAGTTGGTTCTTGTCCACAGCAGCAGAACTGTTTTCACCAGACAGGAGCAATGTCAGCGTCACAACCACCCAGCACAGGCCCGCCATCTGCACACACGTTGAGTTATTTATTTCTCTATTTCTCTATTATTTATTAATATTTTTCAAGGAATAGCATTCTGACTAAGTTCGTAAAAACAGGAATAATGAAAGTAGGACTGAGATGGGAAAAATGTGATCTCTCTGTTTCAAGCCTCATATTTTTTTTGGAAAAATCGACGTTCTAAAAAAACTATTTTTTTTTTAAGGTTCAGTCATTTGTCATTTATTTGTCTGTCTAATGACTTTTAATTCAGGATTTTCAATATGCTTCTGCGTCGGTGAAAGACTGCAACAAAAAAAAGACATGTTACCATGTTGACATTTTTCTGACAAAGTGCTTTTTCTCTTCTCAATCAAACAGCCCTTTAAGTGAGACCAGAATTAAATTTAGTTTTTTTATGCTACACAAACATGTTTTACAACACTGCCCTGTTTATATCATTTTATATCAAAATACTGATTTTTCATAGTGTGTCTTTTACCGTCTTTGGTGGGGAAAGATGTTTGATGGATTCTGTCCACACCGTCAGAGTCCGAGTGCTGCTGCTGTGGGTTCAAACTGAAGGAGGGAACATTTTTATAAGGAAGAGGGAAACCACAGCCAAACCCTCAGAGTGGCACCATGCCCTTATTTGAACTGTTAGATTTCCTCCTTTGAGTTTAGTTATAAATTAAGACACTTTAAAAGAAGAGGAAAAGGAAGGTGTTATTGAAATATATGCAAAGCTGTCCATGTGAATGTCACTGCAACCAAAGCTCCACATCTCACATATCCACCAAAAATATATTAGATAACATACAATGACTTAAAGGTTAAAGACACTTTAAAAGAAGAGGAAAAGGAAGGTGTCATTGAAATATATGCGATACTCACATATACATCAAAAATAACATACAATGACTTAAAGGTATAAAAATATGAAAAGTATAAATGTAGATATCCATGTGTTGTCTGATTATAAAGCAGGTACTGTGAAAATATTAAAGCGTCAGTCACCAAGCCCCGCCCACCTGGACCCACCCTCCAAACCTTACAGGATTTGGTTTCTCTGAGTGTTTACCTGATATCTACTCCTTTTAGCAACTTTCTTGCTAATTCCTCAGTTGTTTACATGTTTTTCAGATGTGCTAGTTACTTTAGCTTAGCAGTTAGCAATGCCCTCTCTCTGCTGCTCTCTCTTGCTCGGTGTGTCTTGGATCAACAAATGAGTGTGGTGTTGTTGTAACTTCAGTGTAGAGGATTGTGATCTTTATTACAACTTCAATGTTGTCGTGCACTTTTGGAGCCGGGCTCTAGTGGTCATTAGAGGAACTGCAGCTTTGGGTTCTTCAGTGTTGGCTTCATAGTTAAAACGGTCACTGTGTGTGTTATTTACCCTTAATCCATCTGCTTTCCTACTCACACTGAAATGTGTTTTCCTCGTCCTTGTGTACAAAGGGAACAACACCATCCTGTAGGACGGACCATTGACTGAGAGAATGATCATTTACCTCTGCAGCCTTTTATTCTGAAGGCTTGTTTCTTTAAGTGTTTTTATTTTTAATTAACTTTGTGTTTATTTATTTTGGCTCTTCACTCAGACTCAATACATTTACAATTGCTTTTCCTTTAACCCTGAAAAAAGCCTTTGAGGAGCTCTGCTCAAAAACCCAGTGTGGCTGTTCTTCATGACTTTCAGACTGAGGAGGGAGATTTCAACATAAACTAAAAATAAGAATTAAGGGCTGAGTCACCTCCCTGAAATGTGTAAAGCATGGAGACTTTACAGTAGATTAAATACACAAACATATTTTCTGTAGCAGCTGTGGTTTCAGTAACTGAGGACTTTGCACTCACACACAGTTATATGCTTCCGTCTTTACTAAAAGCATCATATCACCACGATCATGATCACAACATGATATACAGTGGTTGTTCATATCTTTGAAGCTGTGTAAGATTAGGAAAAACCTTCAGTGTGACACCAGGTCTTTATCTGGAGCGTCACAAGTGTTTCAGTGTATTCATGCAGACATGATATTTGTTACCATGGCTCCACAATGATGAACACACAGACACATGAGAGTGGATGCTGAGCCAAGCTTTAATTTAGAAAGAACAGAGACTTTTCTTTACAGAAGGACAGTGTATGATATTTATTGTATAATTCACATCAAACCTCTTTATTTTATTTAAAACAAACTATTCAATGTATTTATATTTAATCACACATTAGAGGACTATTGACAAAGTTGTTCCCAACCAATTCATGCTATTAATTTATATTTTTTTGTGAATATTATCTGAAAACAGTCTCATAGACGCAGGCGAGGATTTAAATGAAGCAACAAAAGCTGACAAGATAAGTGGCCTGTAGGCTAGACTGATTTCAGGAGCATACCTCAATCTAAGTACATCAGCACACTGAGCGAGGATACAAGGATAAACTGTGCATTTCCAGGCCAGAGTCAGACTCAAGACAACTGGTCGTTTAAATCTATCATGCTGCTGGTCGCCTTTATTGTGAAGGTCTGTCGGTCATATGTGTTGCATTCATTTGACAGACTCTTAAATCTAAAGCAAATTGCATTTTTTCCCAAATGCATCGAGAACAGTAAATGTGTAAATGTTTTTCTCTAGAGTTGTGGCAGTTTATGTCATATAAGCTGCAAGCGTTTGAAAACCAATTATAGGGAAATGCACAAATTAAACTTCTGTCACATTCATCCTCCAGAACCCCCAACTCCTCTGCCCCCGCTAACTCTTCTGTGATTACCCTTTCCCAACAACTGTCCACCCGTCTTCATCCTTCTCCCCTCTGCTTCTTTGTTTAGGCTCTTTATCTGAAACACAATAGTGTGTAACTCCACCATCAGTCGAGCAGCTGACACATTGCATCCGACCGCTTATGTAGTCACAACGGAAAATGTTCTTAAGACCGATTTTGCCTGAGGAAGTAAGGTTACGAAGAGATTGTTCTCGGATCGACTTAGTTGGTTTTTCACCAACTTTTGGGATGAAAAGCTTACTAAACACCACAGCATAATTATTCCACTTTGTAATCTGTTGTATGCTATTGAGAATACCCCCGTCACCTGGTTGAGTACATTTTTGGGGACACGGAGCGGCATAAACAAAGAATAGCATCAAATCCTTGAAGTTATCATTGTTTTTTATAGCCTTGAGGCCCTGTAGGGTGCGGTACTCTGCATGTTCATTTATATTATCAACTTTTTCAGGGCAATGTGTCTGAGTGAAATCATCTAATTTCAGATGTATGGCTCCTACCACCTTCGTGCCAGTGTAAACCTCACATTTCAACATAGCATTCTTCACTGCCACACCATTGTCAGGGCCTGCTGCGACATCATAAGAGTCCCCGCTCTTTGGGATGCTTACAGCCAGACTGAACATGGGTAATTCTCTGTCAGAGGAAACAGATGCACACAATGTTAACCATATGTCATTTAAAAAAGTATATTAATGTACAATAGAAAGTTAGATAGATGATAGAAGTATTGATTAAGTAAAACTTGTCTACTTCATTTACATGTTACTCAGGACATGTGTCATTTTCTCTTTTTGGAAATCAAATGGTTTGGATATTGTGAATTAAATAGCAGGGTTTTTATAGTCTTTTGTTTTTCTTTTTCTGTTCTTTGTCTTTGCTGTAACTTTAAGTGTTGTTTTGTAAAGTGCTATATAAGTAAAGTTTACATAAATCTTTGCTGACCTTTGATCATTGTTGGGTTTCGTATACCTGCCAAAGGAAACAGACACAGATGTTAGTGGGTATGTTTGATCGTACGACAGATGGAAGGAGGCACTGATCAAAGACTTTGATCATAGAAACTGTCTGAATAATAGAAAGAGACAATCAACATACAGAAAATATAAATTCATTCGATTAAACCAGTTCAGTTCTCTCAACAGAAAAAAGAGATGAAAGATTTGCTCCTCTTCAGATTACTAATCATTTGTTTGAAATATTCATGTTCAGGCCTTTAAGTTTCTCCCTCTACATTACAGAGAAAGTTGACTCACTTTTTCAGAACTTCTTGTACAATTGTTGCAAGTTGGTTCTGATCTATGTCCAAACTGTTTCCAGTAGACAGGAACACGGCCAGCGTCACAGCCATCCATCTCAGGCCGGCCATCTGAGTGTTTTTAACAACAGCATCACCACAGAGCATTAAAACAGGGAGAGTGATAATAATAATGATGATAACAGGTTGTAACTGGTTGTAGTTGTAGTTTTTTTTCTGTGAAGTTCAGCGAGATTATTAACAGTAAATGTAGAAAAAAATCTGTAAAATTTGCTGATTCTTGAGAAATTTGGCAAAGAGTCAAACAAAAAGTGAACAAATAAGGATCATGGGAGTTCTCACCTTCACCGCTGCTGCCGGCAGGATCTGAGACCTAAAACAGAAAAGACATGAGCAACAATAAACGTCAAAAGTATCATCCCTTTATAATGAGCTTTATAATAAGAGATGGGGGGACAAAATCTACAGTTCTCATTCTGTGGGAAAATCTTGGACAAGGGTTGCAACTATTGAGTATTTTCATTATCGATCAAATTGATGATTACTTTTTCAGATTATTATTTTGTCTATAATGTAAAAATGTCCATCACAGTTTCCTTCACAGCATCAAATGTTCAAAAACAACTCAAACCAATCAAAATATTTTTATCCAAAAAACATACACATTTTCTATTATTAGACTAATAAGAAGAAATGTCAAACTCAATGAGGAAACACTGGGCTGGAGACATGGTTGTTGTTGCCTGAGGATGATGTCAATCGAGGGAAATTCAGTGTGTCATCCTCTAATTGCCAATTGTGGCTGCAAGTTCACTTTGTTCTTTGCTCAGCAAAAGTTATATGGTCTAGCTTTAATAAACTTTTCTTGAACTGCAAGCCTTTGACTTTTTTGCAAGATTTGGGGTCTAATGAGATTTAGTACAGGACCTCAATTAATGTCTGTAATTAACAAAGCAAACAAATCTTTTGTTATTTGTGAATTAAGTCTTAATGTTTCTATTGTTTATAGTCTAATCTTTATTCAAAATGTGATCATCAGTCTTGAGATATCAGAGCTAAAAGAACAATTACATTTTCCTCCTCTTTGTCACTCTTTGATGTTGTAACAAATACATTTATCAAAAGCTACTAAATTTCCATTGCGCTGTTTTTATAAGGAAATCTGGTTGTATCTCTCTCTCTCTCTCTGTCTCTCTCTCTCTCTCTCTCTCTAGATATATATAACTTTGTATATCTCACCTGTGTAATGAAGAACAGGTGTGAGACGGATGATCTGAAGCTGTTGACTCCCTCGCTGGGAAGAAATGTGTGAACACTGTGGAGGAAAGGGCTTTTTAATGAAGCAGAGTGAGACCGTGCCCAAAGCTTTACTGTGGCGTCATCACTTTATCTTTACATTCAAATTCCGTCCGTTGAATATAATTTAAGGTAAAATGTATTGTCAGTGCAGGGAGACAGTGTCCTTTCAGCAGACCCTCCCTTTCTCCATGTCATATGTGACACTACAGTCGAGTCTCTACATCTAACAAATGAGTAAAATCACTAGAAATGATGGTGAAAAAGAAAAGAAAAGGAATTAATATATTTTAGTGAAGTGAAGTTGTGAGACAAACAGACAGAATAGTAACTACAATGATGAATTATAAGGCACGTTGCAACACCGGTCAGGTTTAGGCACAAAGTGGACTTTGTTGAGGTTAGAGAAACCTTTGTGATTTTCTATCAGCGTTCTTTAACCGACCAGACGCTGCAGTCAATTGTTAGTATTGATAAGCTGAAGAAGCTTCTTTTCATTTGGTTCAGTGTGTTTGTAATAATTCATGTCAGCTACAAGAAGCGTGGTGGACTCATTTTAATGAGGAGCAGACCACTGGTGCACACCTCAGCACTTCAGTCTGATCACAGGACACTCTCCAGGATTCGGTCTTCAGTATTGCTCAGTTATATTAGTGGTTATCAACAAGCGTCAAATCCTAGTCGTAATCATTGAGGCACTTCATATTTGTTTAAATGGCCCTATAAATGTTTACTCATTGATGGACGTGAACTACTGCTGCTTAATCGAAATATAATCAAAACCCCAATATGGCCAAGTGCAATATCCAAATCACAGGAGCTGCAATTTATTTTGGATAAAGGTAAAATGTGTCACAACATTGGTGTGCATTGTAGACCCAACAAAAATCCCATCATTCTTAAATTTCCTTCAGTGAAAATGAAATGCAAAAACAACCATTCCGACTGAAATCGCAATATCTGCCAAAATAATATAATATGATTTCTTTTGCACATTGTGCATCCTTGATGTGAACTGAGAGCGAGGTGAAGGAAATAATCATTGCTTACAATGATGTTTAAAGAAAACAGGAGTCACCAAAGGTTTTTCCCTTCCAATTTAATTTCAGTCACTGGTTTTCAGGCAATAATAAATGTGGTCATATTAAAATTGGGAATCATCAAGCTGTCATACCACTTGATCAAAGTAAATAGGCTTTGCAGACTCAAAGTACAGGTCTAACAAATACAGGTAGCTCTTAGCCACAGTAACCTGAGTGTCGGCTGGATGGTGTCCTGTCGTCTTGTGAAGACTTACTGTCATGTGTTGCAGAGCAGTGACATGGAAATACATTTTACAAGCTTCACCAGTAAAGTGCTGGTCTGCAGTTTGAATTAGGGAGATAAGCCAAACGGTGAGTGTAGCGCCTTGCTATTATCTATTGAAAAAGACAATAGAGAAACGTTAATAAATTACAGAGACACTGAAGCAGGGCTTGTCCACGACCTGTTATTTAACAGGGGAATAAAGATAACATAAAATTTTATTTCATCCCATTAAATGATACAGAAGTCACTCACTGAAATTCAAACTAAACTCACCTTTACAATATAGATTGTAAACCCACTCGTTTTAAAAGCGTTAGTCTGTCAGCTCTTGTGTTTTATACCAGAATAGAACATAACACTTAAAGGATATGTTTGGAGTTTCAGATGCCTGGATCTACTAACAGAGTTAGTGATCACTGAATCATTCACCCTGTTAATGATCATTATCCTCATCTGTAATCACACACCACTTTTCAAAGCCCAAGTTACTGTGTGTCTCACACACTGCAGCAAATTAAAAGCATGAATTATAAACATTGGTTCTTTAAATTTCTATATTGCCAACAAAAAGGCCTGTCTGTTTCTGGGTGAGTATACAACTCTTTATTGCTCTTATGTCGCCCCCCCCCTCCCACTGAAGATCGCATCCAGCGTCTGTTTAGTCTGCACTGGTTCCCCCCAGGGATGTGTGATCTCCCCACTGCTCTTCTCTCTACTAATCACTCTATGCCAATTTTAACAGATGATAGTAGAAATATTTGACACACAGACAAACCAGAGTTGATGCTGAGCCAAGCTTTAATCAGAAAAAACAAAACATCTCAGAAGCGTAAAGTAACAGGGTAATAATGATAAAAACACAAATGCATTTGAGAATTTAAGAAAATGAAATGATCTTGAAAAACATTTTTAGTAGAAAAACTTCTTTATCCTCAGCAAATTAAAGGTAAGAAATTGATTTAGTAGCATAATCAATAGTGGTATTGAAATTTCAGGTTTACATGGTGGTTACATCAATCATCATCTTTTTCAACATCTGTTGGATGGATTGCAGAATTTTAATTTGTCTGATGTTTTGATTTATGACCAAATTCCTGCAAAACAAATGATTAGCCCATCAGCGTCAGCAGTTAGCTGCACAGCTAACATGCTAACCTATGATGGTGAAGAAAGTAAACATAGCATTTTCATTGTGAGCACGTTAGATGCTGAACCTACCCACCCTCTCTACCCATTCTACTGGATCATCCTCTACCACTCCAACCCCCTTTACCACTCCAACCTCCTCTACCACTCCTACCTCCTTTACCACTCCAACCCCCTTTACCACTCCTACCTCCTTTACCACTCCTACCTCCTTTACCACTCCTTCCTCCTTTACCCCTCCTACCTCCTGTAACACTCCTACCTCCTTTACCACTCCAACCCCCTTTACCACTCCCACCTCCTTTACCACTCCTACCTCCTTTACCACTCCTTCCTCCTTTACCACTCCTACCTCCTTTACCACTCCTACCTCCTGTAACACTCCCACCTCCTTTACCACTCCTACCTCCTTTACCACTCCTACCTCCTTTAACACTCTCACCTCCTTTACCACTCCCTCCTCCTGTAACACTCTCACCTCCTTTACCACTCCTTCCTCCTTTACCACTCCAACCTCCTGTAACACTCTCACCTCCTTTACCACTCCTTCCTCCTTTACCACTCCAACCTCCTGTAACACTCTCACCTCCTTTACCACTCCTTCCTCCTTTACCACTCCTACCTCCTTTACCACTCCTTCCTCCTTTACCACTCCTACCTCCTTTACCACTCCTACCTCCTTTACCACTCCTACCTCCTTTACCACTCCTACCTCCTTTACCACTCCTTCCTCCTTTACCACTCCTTCCTCCTTTACCACTCCTACCTCCTGTAACACTCCAAACTTCTGTATCACTCCCACCTTCTGTATCACTCTCACCTCTAACACTCCCACCTCCTCTATCACTCTCACCTCCTGTAACACTCCCACCTCCTCTTTCACTCTCACCTCTAACACTCCCACCTCCTCTCACACTCCCACCTCCTCTAACACTCCGACCTCCTCTATCACTCTCACCTCCTGTATCACTTCCACCTCCTCTATCACTCTCACCTCCTCTAACACTCCGACCTCCTCTATCACTCTCACCTCCTCTAACAGTCCCACCTCCTCTATCACTCTCACCTCTATCACTCTCACCTCCTCTCTCACTCTCACCTCTATCACTCCCACCTCCTCTATCACTCTCACCTCTATCACTCCCACCTCCTGTAACACTCCCACCTCCTGTAACACTCTCACCTCCTGTAACATCAGAAATGCAGTAGTGAGCAACTCCATTACCACTGGAGCATACGCTGCATTGCATCTGATTAGCTTGTTTATCACAACGGAATATGTTGTTTAGACCAATTTGACCTCGGGTACCTTGGTACGTCCCGAGTTGCTGAAGGGCGCCACTACGCTGCTCGTCAGTATTTCCTGGACCAATTTTGGGCTTGAATATTTTAGAAAACACAACTGCGTAACTGTCCCATTCCAGAATTTGATTCAACCTTTGGAGAATATTATATTTATGCCTGCGGCTTGTACATTTTTCCACACATGGGGAGGCATAAACATAGAAAAGCAGAAAATCATTATCATTACGTGTGTTGAGCAGGTTGTTTAAGTGGTCTACGACACGTGACTCTGCGTGATCATCTCCTCCCGTGTCGTGTCTCTGAACTTTGGCTGCAACCACCCGGCTGCCGGTGTACACATCACCGTTGTTCATCGTATTCTTCACATTGTTGGCAGGATCACTTGTGAATACTTGATTAAGGATTTCATTAATGTTCTGGTTCTGGTTCTGGTTCTGGTTCTGGTTCTGGTTCTGGTTCTGGTTCTGGTTCTGGTTCTGGTATTTCGGGATACTTACAGCCAGACTGAACATGCCTTGTACTCTATACCTGCAAAAGGAAAAAAACAGAACATGCTACCATGTATCGTACCACACCATGTACATACAGAACACAATACAGTGTAGGTTGTGTGATATATGAACGTGTAAGGCAGTAACTTCAGTTGTAGAGTAAAGAAAAGTTATCAGATGAATGCACATTGAAACCTAGATGATGATCATGGTATGATGACATGCATAAAAAATAAAATGACCACCACTGAGCTCTCAATGCTTCAACAAAGTATTGGAGCCTAAAGTGCAGTTACATAAACTGACCACTAAGTGGCAGCCTTGCACCATTTACTCTGTGACTAATGCAGCATGCCTCTGTGTTTGTCTCTGCAAAGTTCTTAAGCTTCTTCCCTGTAAAATATCAGTTTTCTTAAACTGTATTTCATAAAACAACAAATAAAGACCTGGATAATTTGCTTAACCTTGTGTGTATTGGGGGAAATCAGTCTGAATTAGGTAATATTTCTGAGTTGTTGACAGCAAGACTGAGCAAAACTCTTGTTGAAGTGCGGATTCAAAATAACATGTACTTCTGCTGGTTGTACTCTCAGCCTCGCTTCATTATTGTTCACTCTGATATCTATACCCCCCATCAAATGCAGCCCCTCCTGATGTGCCCATGGTGGTCTTAACAGTAAATGATTCAGTAGTTGACTCACCTTCTCAAGATGCCGTTTACAATTTGTGGAAGCCTGCCGTTGTAATCATCAGCCAAACTGTTTTTAGGAACAGACAGGAGGAAGGCCAGCATCACAGCCATCCAGCACAGGCCAGCCATCTGAACAGAGTTTATTAGAGTCAGTCATAAATGTCAATAATAATGTTGCAATGTACAATTATAATATATGTAATCCTCCATTTCCTTTGTGCAATGCATTGCGTAACACTAGTGCAACGTCAACCACAAGCAGTTTTTTTTCTTAGTATGCATACTGACTGTAGAGCTACGGAAGCCCTGAAAGGCAAGATTTGTTTTTTCTAAGTTTGTTTTCTCATCTGTATTAACAACCACTGAGATGCAAGTGTTTTGTTTTTTGTTTTTTTTTTTGAAGGAAGAAAAGAAAAATAGAAAAAGGATTTTTAATTTCTCCATGCATTTTAAATACAAAGTGAATATACAGTGTTTTAGCAAGTTTAGTAACATTACCGTTCCTTCTTTTGACTAGATATTTTATTTTAATCAGCAGAGGCTTTCTGCCAGAAACACGTTAGGAAGTCAGGTGAGATAGTATCAATGTTTATTGATTTAGTTAACTACTATTCTTTTTAGTTTTTTCTTTATTTTTATTTTTTGTTTCAAAGCTTTCATCCAGAAAGCCTTGAAGACGCACCTCTCCAGGTCTGGTAAAGAGCGCTCTCGTTCTCTGCTCAGCACAAAAAAAGGAAACTTGACTCGCCTCTCTGGGTTGTTTTCACAGATAAAAAAAACTATCCTGGCAAAAAACATATTTTCACTTGCCTTTCAGGGCCTCCGTATAGACCTGAGCATACTTTGAGTTACTTTTCCAGTGTAACCACATTACATCCTCAGAACCTGCTCAGTCTTAAGTAGTAAGAGGTTTATGACGCAGCTTAATTGTGGCTGGCGGTGAAACAGCTCTCTTGATTTCTTGTACAACCTGTACAGAAACATTATACATACATATACATACATGCTATATTCACCCAACTGTCCACCATGATTGAATGTGTACGGTAGATGGCTACTCATTGACTGCCACTGAATATGGCTTCCCAAATCAAATTCAAGTCACTAATCCTGCCTTCAGAATAACTTTTTTGTCTGCACCATCTACTTATACTCAATCATACAGCCTCATGCTCCTTCTCAGCCACTGTGTTCCTCCAAGGAATGTTTGTGTCCTTTTGTTTTTGCCTGAATATGATGTCTATAAAGCAACTGACTCTGAGTATGTCCTCATCCTCATCCAAAAGCTATATACTCTTTCCTTAATAACCTTTGCTTGAACTGCGAACTTTTGAAATATTTACAAGATATCAGGACTAATGCAACTTTAGTATAAATCCAGTAAGTAAATCCATATTTATAAAGCAAACAAGTAACCTTAATTCAAACCTGTTTTCAAGTTCAAGCACAACCTTTAAACACCACACTGACAATTTCACGTTTCACAACATCGTAAAAAGCAAACAAAATGAAGGATTTTTGCTGCAGGGTGTTAAACCAGAGTCAATTAATTTACCTTTAAATTGTGAAAAAAAAGTGTGAAAATCTTTTACCTGCCTTGGGGGAGGAAGACGTCTAACAGATGCTGTTGACTTGGATTTCTTCTCAGTGCGAGTTGCTGTCACAGTGATTGCAGTTAGAAGGAAACAACATTTTTATAGAGGAGAGTTTGACCATGGCCAAACCCTGAGACTGGCACCCTGCCCTTATTTGACCGTGTCACAAAGAAATAATGAAGAAGGAAGAAGATGTAAAAGGAAGTTGAACACACACTGTAGCATTTGTGTTGTCACGTAGCCTTGACCCATGACCTTTGCAGGCTTGTTGTTGACTGATGCAGAGGTTATCAAAGGGCCTTTTTTACTAAAAATCGTTGTGATTGATCATTTGTTGCAGCTTTCTCCTGCGGTGTTCCCCAAAGCTCCATCATAGGTCCTATTTTATTTTCCCTTACAATTGCTATTGTGCCAAAACACAGCTATACTCTGTAAAACTGAACCTTCAGTCTTGTTTACCTTATCTTAAGGACATGAAATGCTGGATGGCCAAATATTTCTTAATCTTAATATTGCTTCTGAAGATTGAACTTGGGGTGTAGCAGATTTCTTGAGGCCTCTATTTTCAAATGTTCACAAATGTGGTGTATGGGTGTAATTGCTGACTTTGCTTTAAAATTTAACAAGCAAGTTTTGTAATTATTAGTAGTTTTCTCTCTCCTCACGCTCTGTAGACAGTCTTGCATTCTTTTATTATTTTTTTTACTTTATCTGATGTGATCAGTCTTTTTGATTAAAAGAGAAGCAAGTTTAACAAAAGACACTAAAAGAAACTCAAACCAACAGCAATTTTTTCCTATTAAAACAAAGCAAAAGCACTGAGCACTAGATATGATTTTAATATTTTTACACATCTACACTCAAGCTCTTGAAGAGTGTAGGACATTCGTGTCTCTGTATAGCTCAGTTTTAGACCAAGCAGTAAACACGTTACCAATAGGTAGCTGCAATTGTAAAAGTCAGATGTAGCCTATATGTCAAAAAGAATGTACCCTCGTTCAACAGCCTACGACCAAAAACTGCTTCAGTGGACAACAGTGTCAGTGGTCCCTCGCTGAGTTGTGCATGTGTGCTGCAGCTCTCTCTGAGGGTTTAGTCATTAAGAGATGAAGATAAGATGAAGACTTCTGCTTTAGTGAATGACTAGTGGATTAGCGACTAAAACAAAATCTTCCTGTTTTTATCTCACCTCCTCGTTTGATCGTGAGAACCATCAACAGTGTGAACGACTAAAGTCACACCCACACACGATGATGGCAGCAAACTGTCCTACACTGTAAAGATCTTTGCACCAGTTTGTTTGAGCCAAGTTGTGCAGTTATTAGTAAGTGGATTTATGGAGGTTAATTTGTGATGGATATCAGTGATAATGATATCCTCTCAAAAGGAAAACTCACTGAATCTGATTTGATTTGACAGAGTTGTGACTTTAAGAAGGATGACAAGTTTTGAAGAGTTTTTCATTACTTTAATTATTACCTCAATTAGCTGTGTGTCACAGCCAGTGTTGTAACTGCAACTGTGGACCAAACTACTATGACTAACTTCCTGTGTGTGCCTGTCCCATTTGCCTTTGCCCCACACCCTGGGTCTCTCTCGCCATGCCCCCCAGCAAAGGTGCTTGACTTACCTATAGAATCCAAACTGTCTGGACAGACAACAGTGCTGTTTTTAAGGGTTTGACAAATGATGGACGAACACAACAGAACAGATGCTGAGTGGAGCTTTAATTAGACTGAACAGAACATCAGGTTTACACAAGTGTAGAGAACAATGAGGTGACGTAAATACATATTTAATTGATCGAGTAAAATGAAGTAAATATCAAAATGTTACTACTTGATTCTTTTTTTAAACAGAGCCCAAAAACAACAACAATTTCCTCATCACCTAATTGTTTTATTCAGGTGAATGTGCAAGACATACGACCAGTTACATTAAATTACCTGCAACTTCTGTAAAACTCAGAAAACAAGAAGCATTAAGATGAATATTTCTACTATGGATTGGGTCAAAACATCTGAGCAACAGTTTTTAATGTGCTGTATTTATGCGGTTAATACCTGAAGGGAGTTATCTAATACGGTACCAAGTGATGCTGTAGCGATAAGACAGTGTTATGAATAGAAAGCAGATTACTCTTTTGGCCATACATGATATTCAATGAATCTCTTTATTCTTAAAAGCAGTTTGAATAATTTAGTGGATCCTTGTGTGTTTAATAAAAGGTTGTAATAATCTGTTTAACCTGTGGTGTCTAGAATTTCTCTACTCCATGACATCTATTTTTCAGTTCCATCTTGTGGCAAAGTTACAGACGGACGACAAATTAAATGAAAAACAAACATGGTTGGCCACGCGGTGGCCCAACACCTTCCTAGGTGTCTTAATAAGGTGTTGGGCTGCCACAACAGCTTCGGTGTTCCTTGTCATTGATTCTCAAGTTCTACTTGTGGGCTGAACACCAGCACAAAAGATATTTGGTGTTTTGATGATGGTGGTGGAAAGCGCCGTCTAACATGTTGGCCCAGATGTGGTGACTGTGAAGGCCATAGTATATGAGTCACATCATTAATTGACCCCTCCTGCCCTGTGGATGGAGGCATTGTCATCCAGTTCTTCCATTCATTTTTTTTTTTTAAGATTTTCCTTTAATTTATCACCCGTCTGTAAGTGTCATTAACAACCTTCAATTAATATTTCAGTAAAGTCTTGCAGCAACCGCCCTGCTGTCATCTAAATACACAAATGATTAATTTTTAAGTAAATCATCTTTCATCATGGGAAATTCTTTCTCAAAGGCCTCCTTTAACATATTTAAGTTCTCCTTTGAGATTTTTTGAGTCCTCTTGATCGGCATTGTTCTTTTATACTTGCCAAAGGAAATGTACATCAAATGTTACAGAGTATCATTACAGTATAAATACAAAGCTTGATGAATGTTATCTCTCCTTACATCTGATCTCAGAACAGCGTTCTGTCCTATAAAGGATATGTTGCCTGTTTGAATTCATCATGTAATTTGAAAATTTGAAAAAGTATTTCAGAGGTAAATTTCAGGAGTGGAGCGGCTCAGGACACATCAAAGATTTTGCATGTGGATAGAATGACTGGATTTCCTCTGGAAAAAGGGGAAATAATTTCTGTGGCAGTAAACACTATAAAATAGGACCAGGGTCAGTAGATATTACAATAAAATTACTGTACATGTCATTTCCTAACTTAAAAAAGTGGATTTAGTGTTGCGTTTGTCACTGATTTTCAATGAGTGCACTCATGCTCAACTCTCACCTTCAGGAATAGTGCTCACAGGTATGTTAGTCTCAAACACTGGAAAAGATGAGATGAAAGTTAAGCTGCACTCCAGTCACATGGAGCTACAGTTGTAATGCTCTTTGGACTAGTACGAAGAATTCACATCATCATCCGTCTTTCATGCTGTAACCAATACATTTATCAAAAGCTACTAAATTTCCATTGCGCTGTTTTTATAAGGAAATCTGGTTGTATATCTATATCTTTGTATATCTCACCTGTGTAATGAAGAACAGGTGTGAGACGGATGATCTGAAGCTGTCGACTCCCTCGGGGTTCCTTTCAGTGCTGGGAAGAAATGTGTGAACACTGTGGAGGAAAGGGCTTTTTATGAAGCAGAGTGAGACCGTGCCCAAAGCTTTACTGTGGCGTCATCACTTTATCTTTACATTCAAATTCCGTCCGTTGAATATAATTTAAGGTAAAATGTATTATCAGTGCAGGGAGACAGTGTCCTTTCAGCAGACCCTCCCTTTCTCCATGTCATATGTGACACTACAGTCGAGTCTCTACATCTAACAAATGAGTAAAATCACTAGAAATGATGGTGAAAAAGAAAAGAAAAGGAATTAATATATTTTAGTGAAGTGAAGTTGTGAGACAAACAGACAGAATAGTAACTACAATGATGAATTATAAGGCACGTTGCAACACCGGTCAGGTTTAGGCACAAAGTGGACTTTGTTGAGGTTAGAGAAACCTTTGTGATTTTCTATCAGCGTTGTTTAACCGACCAGACGCTGCAGTCAATTGTTAGTATTGATAAGCTGAAGAAGCTTCTTTTCATTTGGTTCAGTGTGTTTGTAATAATTCATGTCAGCTACAAGAAGCGTGGTGGACTCATTTTAATGAGGAGCAGACCACTGGTGCACACCTCAGCACTTCAGTCTGATCACAGGACACTCTCCAGGATTCGGTCTTCAGTATTGCTCAGTTATATTAGTGGTTATCAACGAGCGTCAAATCCTAGTCGTAATCATTGAGGCACTTAATATTTGTTTAAATCGCCCTACAAATGTTTACTCATTGATGGACGTGAACTACTGCTGCTTAATCGAAATATAATCAAAACCCCAATATGGCCAAGTGCAATATCCAAATCACAGGAGCTGCAATTTATTTTGGATAAAGGTAAAATGTGTCACAACATTGGTGTGCATTGTAGACCCAACAAAAATCCATCATTCTTAAATTTCCTTCAGTGAAAATGAAATGCAAAAACAACCATTCCGACTGAAATCGCAATATCTGCCAAAATAATATAATATGATTTCTTTTGCACATCGTGCATCCTTAATGTGAACTGAGAGCGAGGTGAAGGAAATAATGCCCACAATAATGTTTAAAGAAAACAGGAGTCACCAAAGTTTTCTCTCCTTTCCTAACATTAATCAATTTAATTTAAGTCACTGGTTTTCAGGCAATAATTATTATTCAAATAAAGAATCATACCGCTGTCATACCACTTGATCAAAGTAAACTGGCTTTGCAGACTCAAAGTACAGGTCTAACAAGCACAGGTAGCTCTTAGCTGTGGCTCTTCTCTGCAGTGGGCCAACCGTCAGTCATGTTGAGGGGGCGGAGCCCACTTGACGGTGTCCTGTCCTGCTGCTAGTCGTAGCTCCTGCAGAGTCTTACTGTTATGTGTGGCAGAGCCGTGACATGGAAATACATTTTACAAGCCTCAGAGATAAAGTACTGGTCTGCAGTTTGACAGATTAGCCGAACGCTGAGTGTAGCGCT